GGGGGGGGGGGGGATATTTATAGTTTTAGAGAAGGTTAGTTTTGTAAATTGAAAAAGGGTTAAAAATTTAAAAAAAAGGCTATTTGTGCAATTTTTCCATTGGCCAACGGACCAATTCAAGGTCTGACCATTGCCAACGGTCAGTGGGGCCCACCTATTTCGATAATTTAAAAACAAAACAAAACAAAAAATTCTAGCTGTTGTACCGGGCCGGTTAACCCGGTAAGGGTAACTGTTCATTGGACCGGGTTCAACCGATCCGGTTACCCGTTTTAAAATTCTAAACGGACCAACCCCCTCTACCCCTCCTACCCAGCCCAGCCCCCTTTAACCGGGCCGGGCCAGTTTCGGGTTTAACCGGCCTGGGCCAGTCCGGAACCGGGTCAACCCGGCCCGTTTAACACCTATAGTTTACATTTGCAGGCTATAGTTTATGCTACATATTTTTGAGGGTCATCATTTATTTGAACATGTTCATGTAGATGTCACTTCTTTGTTACGGCCAATGTTTTACATTAGTGTCTTGTCTTTAATATTGTCACCAATCTTGTTATAATGAAGAACTCAGGACTTACATTATAATGGCTGCTTTTATAATGGCATGTTCTCGAAATTCTTATACTGCTATTGCTTGAGTTTGTGGATCTCATTATGTTATTGTTGGATCATACTCCCTAGTTACATTAGTCAGATGTACCTAATCTTCTGTTTTCCTTCTTGTCTTGCTCTGCTCTTTAGAAGGAAGTAAACTCCTCTAATCAAGCCAAATGCAAAGCTATCAAAATTATTCCTGAACCTTTTGTTGGCGAGACAAGTTATTTCTCTGAATCAGCTGACATAGCTCCAGATCAGAGCTCCTTCGTCGCACAAAAACAGGATGAAAGGGTCATCGTTGCTTCTCAATTGAGTATACCTTCTGAAGGTTTATGTAACAAAGGAAAGGAGATGATACTGCTCTCTCAGGACATTGCAAGATCCTCAAATCTATCCTTAGATGATAACCTATGTTCTGTTGTTCCGTGCAGTTTATCGTCTGACCATCTGTCTTCTCCTTCAGCTGCATACAATCATGTAAAGGATGAAAAACAACAGCGCTTTGGTTCCACAACTGAATGCGCTACAAAATTGCAGAAATACTCGGTTCTTGATAATCAGGTGGTTCATGGGAAACAGCTTACCACTCCGAAGATTAATAGAGAAGGGATGCATCTCCCAGTTCACCGAGAAGTAACCTCTCTAAGAACTTATAGCGTACTCCCTAGCAATGGGACTTCTTCAGAGAAAGCGTATTGTTTTGATACATCATTTTCATTGGGAAGAACTGATGTACCAATGCTAAAGCCAGTAGCTCAAATGACAAACAAAAAGGGAAATGGTGATGATACTCCAAGAGACATGAATGAATTCACAGTGGCTATGCCCACAAATACAAGCTCACCCTTTATATTGAACCCTGGATCACGGCGTCGTTTCCAAGTTTCAAAAGCATTTCAACATGATTTTGGGATGGGAAAGGATAGAAAGCAAACAAGAGAAGATCAAGCTACTACAGTGTGTCCAAAAAGAAAGCGTGTTCGCTTTTCAGAAACTGAAACTGAGATTCAACGGAGGAAGGAGCCTAAAAAGTCACACGTTGCACTAAAATCTCGTTAGTAAATTGTAATTTGGAATTTGACCTAGTGTTTTCCAAAGAGAAAGGACACAAATTCACTTCTTTCTTCACCTTCATTTTTGCAGGTCAGGCGCCCAAAGCTGCTAGAAATTTGGGACTTCCAACTTCACATTTGGAGTCAAGAACTCAGGAACTCAAGAAGCGTCTAACAAATTCTTGTGTTAGAGTTGGAAGAAGATCGATGTTCAAAAATATAGAATTCTTAGTGACAGGATTTTTTAGGCAGCGAGAGAAGAAACTTGAAGACCTAATCAAGAATTATGGTGGCATAGTTCTCTCTGATATCCCCTCTCCTTCAGTTAATAGGGGTCAGAGATGCAAGGGACTTAAGACTCAGGCAGTTCCTGTTGTTCTTTGTTCAAAGAAGGTCGGTCATTTTCTATGCTTTTATTTTGGCATTTCAATTCATATCTACTAAATTAGAACAATGTATTTCTGTTTGCTCTTCATCCCCAGTAAATTGATACTACATCAAGGTTTTACATTGTTCGTATGTAAAACAATGTCCAATGACTTACTACTGCGTCTTGGCTGGTTTAATTGAATGACAGATATAGAGATGGTTACAATAAAGGAGAACTAGATGTCCTCAAACCGAAGAGAGTAATATTAGCAAACAAACCCCTCCCAATCTCATTAAAGTTCCACAAAAGAGTTCCTTCTTTCGTCGCAAATATAATTCTTGTAGATTCAGAGATCTATTTTCTCTCTCTATTGTCAAGCTCTCAGGCACACTCCCCGAGGAGCCTGGGAACAAGGAATTTTAGGTTTCCATGAACACCATTAGAAAGCCCACAGAATTCCGACCACTCCACTGAAATTTTTCCGACGAAGAAGCTGCCACGCGCCACCACGCGCGGCACCTACCGGCAACCTAGTCGCCACGCGCCGGGCGTGTGAGCCCTTTTCCGGCAGGGTTTCAAAAAATTTCTTTTGGACAGCTTCCTCTACTGATAATTCCGACCAAGTCTGTACAATTTTTTCAGATTTTTGACGACTTTTATTTTTTCCGGGGAGCAGGGAACCTCTGTTTAGTCCAGATTTCAGTATCTTTTACATCAACAGCTCAACTGTGATTACCATCAAACACTCCTTATAATTTCCATAACCTGAGCAGCTGGGTGGTACAATATGGGAGACAACCGAATTTATTTCAACGCATGATTCAAATCTTTTGACATCACCAGATGGAATTCCAACAAAGATGTATGGTTCGAATGGGTGGAGAGAAGCAGCAACATGATGAGACGTTCATCCATGGGCAGAAAGGCAATGGAATGGATTTGTTTTGTACTTAAAGAAGCATCGACAGATCAAATGAATTTAGTGAAGCGATGGAAGTACAAGGAACATATGACAGAACATTTCTGTACCAGGAAATTCAACGTTCATGGAAGATACATGAGCATTCTGTCACTGAAGGGAGAAGGGAGGTCTGTTATTATAATTCCAGAGTTAGCTTTGAATGCAGGTTGGAAAGACATAGCAGCTAAGATAGAAAGATTCATACATCAGACCCCCAAAATGAATCCCACAGCCCCACCTAGAATCACTGTGGACAACTACCCTTATGTCAAAGCAATCAAGGAGAGTAAATGGCAATCCAATACCCTTCGAGAGGCAAAGGTCAGCATAAACAATGGAGATATCTCTGTTGTGGAACCGACAGGTAGCGAGGATTCTGGTTTACTAAAAAGATGCATTGTCGGGTTTTTTGGGAAAGAAATCAACGAGAGACCCACTTTAGCAGACATAAGGCGATGGGCTTGTGCGTCATGGAACAAAGCATATGGAGTAAACATGTATGAAATGACAGGCAACATGTTTCTTTTTGAATTTCCAAACAGATTCATGGCGGAGCAGATTATGCAAGGAGAATGGAGTTGGAAAAAGTTCAAGCTTCATCTGGAATGGTAGAGTCATACTGCTGGATGCATTCCAAACTCACAAATTGAGGAAACATGCTGGATTAGAGCCATGAGGATTCCTTTACATCTATGGTCACAAAAGATCTTCAAAGAAATAGGAGATCTCTGTGGGGGATGGATAGCTACTGAAGAAGAAACTGATCTCAAAAATCATCTTAAGTGGGCAAGAATTAAAATTGTTGGTGATGGCAGAAAGACTCCCAATGAGGTTGGGATTGAAAGAGACGGTATCAAATTTTTCATCCCAATCTGGGCTGAAAGACAGACAAGATATGAGCTGAAGATGCAAGAAAACGAACAATGTTTTGAAATAGAGAGATATTTGAACAATCAAGTGGGGTGCACCATATTGCAAAACACTGATAAAGGAAAGGCAAGTGTGCAACTTACACAAGGTTCGAGTTCGATGAATCAGAGCAGTAAAGTGACAAACAACGAGCTGAAATCCTATGACTCCGACTTGGCTGCACAAGTCATTTTTAATGATCTCTCGTGTGAGTTTTCTGATGATATTAGGCTGAAGCCTTGTATTGAGGAAATGGGAGGACCTTCTTACCTGGGGGCAAAAGAGTCCACTCCAGGGGACCCAATCCCCAATGAAAACCTTGAAAGTATGCCAAAGGCAACACTTAACAGTTGTAGTCAGCTAGAAGGTGGAGCAGAGATAGCAAGACTGGAACAGAAGGCAGGGGAGCAGAGCACAAACACAAATATGGGGGAAGATCAAGTTGGAAGTGCTTTGGTACAACTAAAACACTTTAGCTCTATCTAAGATTAGGAAATCGAGGAGGTGAATCCTATAGCAGTTCAGCAACACAATCCATTAATGGATAAAGACATGGATGCTACACTATGGGTCCATCAAAATATGATCAAATTGGGGAAAATGTTTGGAGTAGATTTTCAAGGCCATGAAGAAGAAGCATTGGAGTTGTTAATGCAAATTGACAGTTGTAGACAAGTTAGAAGGGTGGAGACAGAGTTGGAGGTGAAGAAACAAAGATTCAAAGGATCATTGGAATTAAAAGGTTTAACTTCGTTTGATGTCAAATTCAAGAGTGACGGGAAAAGGAGTAGGGGAAGAGATCTATCAATCATTTCAATATGAAGATCAAAGTAATTTCCTGGAATGTAAGGGGATTAAACGACAAGAAGAAAAGGGAGATCATAAAAAGTCAAGTGCAGAACTGGAGGGCAGACATTATATGCATGCAAGAGACAAAAGTGGAGGGGGATATAAAGGAAATAGTCAATCAAATATGGGGTGGTAGATGGGTGAGGTATGCAAGTTTAGAAGCTAGCGGCACGAGAGGGNACAAGAGACAAAAGTGGAGGGCGATATATAGTCAGTCAAATATGGGGTGGTAGATGGGTGAGGTATGCAAGTTTAGAAGCTAGCGGCACGAGAGGGGGGATTTTGTTATTATGGGATTGCAGAGTATGGAAAAGGGGAGGTGTTATAGACTGGTGCATACACTTTGACTTGCAAGTTCGAGGCTCTTTTACAGAATTTTCAATGTCACATAACAGGAGTGTATGCTCCAAATTGTAGAATAGAAAGGAAAATAGTATGGAGAGAAATTGGTGCAGTGAGGGGATTGATGGAAGGTCCTTGGGCGGTTTGTGGCGATTTTAACGTTACAAGGTACCCTTTTGAAAAACGGGAATGTTCAAGGAGGTCCAAAGCGATGGTGGAATTCTCGGATTTTATAGAAGATGTGGAGTTGATAGATCTACGACTTGAAGGAGGCTACTATACTTGGTTCAAAGGGGACAATCATACAGCCGCTTCAAGAATCGATAGATTTCTCATTTCAGAAGAATGGGATGAACGCTTCAGAAACATCAAGCAAACTATCCAACAAAGGTTGATTTCGGACCATTCACCTGTGGTTCTATACTGTGGTGAGTGGGAACAAGCTAAATCATACTTTAAGTTTGAAAATTGGTGGCTGAATGTGGAAGGTTTTGATGACAGAATTAGAGACTGGTGGACATCTTTTGAATTCCCAGGAAGACCAGATTACATTTTAGCTTGCAAGTTAAAAGCTCTCAAGGGCAAGCTAAAAGAATGGAGCAGAGTTTATGAAGGTAATTTGGGACTGCAAAAATCAAAATTGCTAAGTCAACTAGCAGGTTTTGAGACAACACAATAACTAAGAGCGCTGACAGAAGAGGAATCAGTGAGGAAAGCAACTACTCTAATGGAGATTGAGGAACAACTCAAGAATGAAGAAATTGTATGGAGACAAAAATCAAGAGCTCTATGGCTCAAAGAAGGGGACAGGAATACAAAAATTTTCCATCGTACTGCAAATGCACACAAGAGAAACAACAACATTGATCAACTAATGATTCGAC